TTTGCCTCCAACACTTTGAAAAACAATTCGGCCCAAATTGGAAGTGAAATAAACCAAACCAGCGGTGACCATTCCCTCTCTCAGAAGTCAGAAAAAGAGAATTGTAGAATTTGCTGCCTATGTGGGGCTAATGTGCATATAGGATTATCATTTTATCTACACACGAGAATTTGGAATGAAGAATTTTAAGCTCGGTATCAACTTGATTGATGCAAGCAAGTGTATACTTAAGAAAGTCAACCAACATTATTAACAGATGGTAGAGAACAAATCTTTACTTGTTAGTGATGGAAGGCATTAAACTTTACGAGGGTGTGAATGAGACTCGAATGATGCTCCTATGAGATAATTTAAATGTTGTGAATAAAAAAGGTTTAAGCACAGCTGTGATTAATCCATAATTATCATCAAGCCTTATGTTTTTTGAGGCTAGACATTTTTGTATAGTCACCATCAAAAAATAACTGATCGAGAGAGATATGATTTTGCTGTTATAGCTAGACTGTTAGTTTGGGAGTTTTTCCTCCTTAGCATTTTGTTACATACGTTTGTGGGGCTAAGCTAGAGAAAGGCAGATAAGAAGATAAGAGGAGATGCAACTACACGTATGTCAAACATCCTTTAGAGTTCTAAAAGGTCACCTGTTGTATTTATCCAAGATGCAAGTTGTGTGAATGATATGTATGTACTAGGGTTGACAACAGTTTGAGCTGATTGAGGATTCTTTTCTTCATTTCTAGCTAAATCAGAATAGCTAGTACAGGCCGGATTATCAATGTGAGGGAAACTTCATCAAGAGAACAGGCACGAACATTCTTGTGTGTATTCATGCATGGGAATATATTCTAAGTTGACTGTGGCCAACTTCTGAGCATTAATGTGGGGCAAGTGATAAAATTAAAGATATCAGAAATGTGTGCGCGATTGTTGACAAATTTCAATTGCATGGTTTATGTAAATCTATTCCGAATCTAATTTCTATATGATATGATGCCCTAGCTAGTAATTTCTCTATAAATAGAGGTCTGAGAGAATTGTAATTGCAATGCAGGGCCTGACAGGATATATACATTAAGCAGGAAGAGAGGTCTTACATGAGAATAGGAGACTTGTTTGTTAGCCAAGAATGACTTGCCTAGCTACATCATATATATAATCAAGTCTAATGATATATATGGTTCTTACTGTTTATTTAGAAGCTG